AAAAAAACATCAAGCCGGCCACAAAAATAGGACTGCATATTTTCATGAAGATAATACCAAGGATACCACAAATGCTTGGGCTATCAATGTAAGAAATCTGTTAGCAGTGTTAAAATGATGTTCCAACAGGTCGGGCGCAGCTGTGCTAGGGCTTCCAATTCTGGGCTACCCACGGCCTGTTCTATGTATTTACGCCACTCTTTCGGGACCACTCAAATGGTCGCCTACTTTCCCATGGACATCACTCACTAGTGCTGTAAATAGCATGTAACTATAATTTCTTATATTTTTTCCAGCATAATTTTCTCATACAGAATAGTTTTGATTTTCGCTTCTAACAAAAATTAACATAACTGATAGTTCTTTTGCCGGAGTGCTGCGGCGAATGTTTGATAATCTACTTATGCCTAAGCCAGATTACTATACTTCGATCTCGTTAATGCCGTTGAAAATGAGCGAATACTTGCCAAATAATTTAAAACAGTCCAAAGATTGGGGATTTTGGGACAGATTGTTAGTCAGAGATAACTATCCTGGGCTGGGAGGGTAGCCGAAATATACTGGTACTGTGCGAGCTAAAGCACTGCTTATGCAAGTTATACAGCCAAAAGAACGAAACAACATGAGGCCACGAAGAGGGTGGCAGAAAATGTGAGTAAAAATCATACTAAAAGTGAACCACTTCGAGGCACTATAAATTTGCTGAGTTTTCGGGTAAAAATTATGTAAACTACATTTTTTGATATACGTTTCCCCCGACCAAAATGTCCTGAATTATTTCCATACCCCTTCCTTTCTCTGTCTTTCTGCGGTTCCTGTGCGCTTTTATTATTTACGTGTAGTTTCACAAACTTACAGCTTTTTCCATCCTCTTTTTTCCCTCTTGAACAACTTGTCCTCTTTCCTACATGCTTTCGGCTCTTTAAATTCCTAAAAGGTAGCGTGCGTTGCATTGGAAGTCAGGGTTTCTACCTTTAATTATCATCCATAAATCGAACAGTTAATTTCACTGTTATTTTTCATTTCGTTGTTGTTTCTCATCAAAAGTGTACTTCAAAGCCTTCATTTAAAGCATTCAAGGAAATCCGAGCTAGGTATGAAGGTGTGAATTCATAGCATGCGGTCGTTTGATAGTCAAACTTAAAAAGACAGGGTACAAGCAGAACGAATTCCACAAACAAACAAAGTGCTCAAGAAGAAGCTGCAAGACCACATTTGACTGTCCTGAACAAGTTTTAATTCTTCCTGAAAGGAACTCAAAAAACCCCTCGTAAACCTATTGGATCGTTACCATTGCTCTAAATCATTCGCCTGGAAAATATTGCTGTCCCACAGAGATTCTGAAATTTAGGAAATAAAAAAATTGCATAGATAAAAATATAGTGGCTTTCATTTTCACTGCACTCAAATAGCCTCTAGCCCGAAGAAACAGACTAGGACCAGTGCACTGTTATTTTGACCCTTTGATCAGTTGCAGTTCAAAGCTTGATTGTCCAGTGACGCAGCTGACAACCTTTCTACTAGCCATTTCTGGATGTTATTACCGTGTATTGAGTATAATCTCATCACTTCTCTCAAACGTTGCCAGTCGTCTACGGCAATGAGGTATCTTACTGACAAGAAGATATTCAACTCGGCACTGTGAGAAAAAACAGATACGAGAAAATTCTAAACAGCTCTTTTTGCGCACAATTTTGTAAATATGAACCATATTTTAGGTCTGAACAAAAACAAAATGGCTAAGCTCGTCATTGTCACCGCAATGCTTGCTTTGGCAGTGGCTGTATCGGCAGCACCAACCGAAGGTTTGTTTGAATTTCAGTGAAAACATTACGCGTTGTTCGGACTGCGATAAAGCAAAGGTAATATTTGGCCCAAATGCAAAGTCACCTTCTCTCTTTGCGCCATTTTCCCCGTTCATTGCTTGCTACATTCATAGTTTTACTCTCTGCAAGAGGCACATTTCTCAATTTGCAACCGCCAATTCCGTGGATGAAAGTTTTTTCGAGGGGTTGACGTGCATACTGAAGGATATTTCGAATAGTTGGAATTTATTACGAATTTGGGCAGAGGTCGAGATGACATTTTTAAAAATGATCATTATCAATCGAGATGGTATAAAATTAACCTAGTGTAAATATTTTATTGCAGAACCCTCTTATGTCGATGTGCCAATAACCGATTCGGAAGAACTCAGCGATGCAACGTAAGTCGTCTTTTCTAGCACTGGGATTATCACACTGGATAGCAATTTGACTGGACCGAGGAGCCACGCTCCCCAAAATCACCTGTTGCAGGCCAAAGAATCACAAGTTCTCGGTCCTTCCTGTCAAAAGCTACCTTGTCTGAAAATAGTACTGTCTGATTAAAATGATGCCCGTTCTCAGTTTTAGTAACTTTCAGCTCAAAAACACTTTTTTAACTTGTCCGATATGCGATAACCACACGAAAATTTGCCGGCGTTTGATAGTCAAAAGTTCAGCCTATGAGAGCAGTTAAACCCAAAACTGCTGTGTACAATTATGATCACTCTATTCCAAGTTTTATCACAGGAGCTAGTGGAGCACCATTTTGCCAACCGCGGGATTATCACGAGAAGCCAGAAGCAGTCAAAGCCTGTAAATCGCAAAAACTGTTTGTTTGAGCCCGGCATATACATTAAATTACGGGCACAACTGCATGAAAAATGGATACAATACAAGTGGGTGAAAAAGAATAGGTACACCTGGTTACAGCTACATTTGCTCGACATACCAGATTGCGTTTTGAAAGTCCGAAAAGACTGGAAATGAGTGGGTTTTACTTTAGGTCTATCCATGTTTTTGCAAAAAAGATTCCGTTCGTGGCAGTGCCTGCACGTATGCAAAACTTGCAAAAATGAGTTAAAATTGGCATTGTTAGGTAGTCCCTAGAAATGTTTTTCCTAGAATTTTCTGTTACTATATTCCAGAAGCTTTTCTGGAAAACACAGTAACAGAAAAACTCTAGGGAAAAACTAGGAAATGTAAGTGAATATATTATATGGTAAATAGACCATAAAAGATCGTGCGAAAAAGTAAAAATATAGTAGTTTTTAAAAATTATTGTATTTAGGGAAAATACGGGTCCATTCAAATCATTTTCTTTCAGGTCGACGCTTGCGTCTGCCATCGAACAAAAGCAGGAAATGGCTGCAAAGGTTTGTACAGTTTTCGAAGCAAAATCGAGAATGGCATCACAATGCGCCGTACAGTAAACACCAGCGCTGAAACTAGTATTTCGATAAAAATGCTTCAGTCTATTGATTAGTTTCGTTCACTAATGCTGCAATAAGAAACCTAGTCGAAAGCGTACCGGCTGCCGGTACGAGGATGCGTTTTTTGCACAGTTCCCCCCGCAGGTTTTTTCGCCAGTGCCACGTTCTTCCTGGCAGATGCTTCTAGCTAAAAGAATTGTGACTGGTCACCATGACTGTTAGAAATTA